TGCCTTACTTGAACACTCAGAGCGTTTTATTGTAAATGTCATGGTGCTGAGTCTGTGGACTCAGTGGTTTTGATTATTATCTTATGTTTCAGGTTAATTCTTGTTAGGATTTTCTTGTTCTGACGTTTGATATTTGTTTTGTATTTTTGAGCTCCTTTTGTTCTGTGTCTCTGTGCCTTTGCTGCTCCCACGTCTCTGTGTTCCCTCCCTGTTGCCATGTCTGATGTCTTGTGTTAAGCTCGTGTTTGTTCATACCTGTTGTATTTGCTGTTTTACTTTGATGGTCCCTGTCCTGTGTGTAGTGTGTCTGGTTTTGCTTCCCCTTGTCTTGTCAGTTCTGATTTCTCCCGGCTTTGTTTCCTTCCTGTCTCCCATTCCCTGATTGCTCCTGTGTGTATACAAGCCCTGTGTTTTCTTCTGCTTGTTACTGGTCCGTCTGTGTTTCCTCCGTGTTTCTTCCTGTGTCGTGTCATCCCGTGTTCCACCCTGTATGTTTTCCTGTCAGTTACGGATTCAGATTTGTTTGTTAGATTGTCCCAGTTTAGGTTTGTTCTTAGTTCCCGTCTGTCCCATCTCTGCTCTGTCTGTATTATCACCTCATGTAAATAAAGCTCACTCATTGCATCGTCAGTGCCCCCGATTGGGTCCCTTTCCCTTCAACCCCACACGACTGCCGCCGCAGCTGTGGCAGTGTATTTTTTCTTATTTGTGAAATTAAAGACAATAAGGAGAATCGCAAAACAACATTTTTAAAAAATGGGAAAAAAAATAAAATAAAATGCAGGTCCACTAAGAATACTGTTCCACAAATGGAAATACTAAAGCTTTTATCTGTTTGTGTATTAAAGATATCTGTTCCAGGTAATACAGGTGTGGGGGTGACAGGAATGTGAAAACAGAGGGCAGGGCAAATCCTGTGGTTTAGGCCATACCTGAACTCCAGTCATGTGTTAAGGAATGAACAACTCTGCTGTAATCCTGGATAGTGATATATCAGTGTTGCTATGTTCAGGAAGAAGGCCCTCTCTCCACCAGCTCATAAAAAGACCAAACTAAACCCACACTAATGTAACATTTACTACATCTTATGTGTAGAGCATGCAGGCGGGGGGGCTTTCGGTCTTCCCTGACAGCTGTACAATTTAACAGCAGACATGTTGATAGTAGGTCAACTGGCTGCTCTTGTAATCCTCATTCTTCAGAGGTGGATCATCACAGCTGCGGGGCTGACTCATGCGCCGGACGAGTTAAAAACCGCTGGAGCGCCAAGAGAACAAAGAGTCTGCTGTGGGACTCCGCTGAGCACGTCTCCGGAGCACCGGCTGTGAAATCTAAATCTGAGGATGATTATGGAGCACAAAGGACTGCTGCTGGTGCTGCTGCTGCCGGTGTTCAGCCTCAAAGGAGTATTTTGCGCAGTGGTACCATGGACGGAGTTCAGTGAAGCAACGGTAAGATGGCAGGTCGTTTTGTGACTTGTTTGAAAACTTCTCTAAAAGCAGACCTTTTTACTTTATCTAATCAGAGAGTCCTTATGATGTGTTTATAGATGTCTCTTTATTTTCCTGCCAAATTAGTTGATTTATCGTGGTCGCACATGACAGCTTTGTTGTTTTCTCACACATGCACAGGCTTATTTGAGGCAGTACGGCTACCTGAATGAGCCCATCGATACATTGGACCCTCGTTACCTAGAGGAGGTCATTGAAGGCCTCAGGTAAACTAGATTATTGCTATTTCTACAGAGAACACACTTCCAGTAACATCTGCTGTTAGATCAGGATCTGTTAGAGCGATACTCCCTACACAGGATGTGGGGTGGAGTGTTTTTTTTTCCATTACTTTACAGATATTTGATTTCCTTGTATTCATCAGTGTCTTCCAGAGAGTGAATGATCTGCCACCTACTGGAGAGTTAGATGAAGCCACACTGGAAGTGATGAACCAGCCCCGCTGTGGTTTGGAGGATCCTTTCAACAAGAAATTTCACAAGTACAGAGTGATGGGTGAGAAGCAAATTGTGTACGTCGGTGGTTTTAACATTTACTTGCAACTGTTATACAAAATAGCCAGCCAGTGTCACAATTTCCTGATTATTTTGGTTTGTTTAGTTTTTTTAGTTTCATAAAACCACGAGCAGCAAGACATCAGTGTTTCTATGCTGAGGCTTTACAGTTAAGAATATATGTATATTACACAAGACAAGCTGTCATGACCGGGTATAGTATGATTTAGTACTTGTTTGTTAACTTGTTACAGCTGCAGATTGGCATTAAAAAGCTGGATCTTTAAAGGCAACAGCTATGACGTTAGTTTAAACACACTCCTGAAACAGGCTTTTCCATGCAGCTTCAAATTCATCCACTCTACTTGAGGAGCTGACAAAATGCATTTTCAACCACCCAACTCTCCACGCATAAAGTACATAAAGTCTTGATTTCGGTTTCATTATGATGACTTAGAAACAAAATGTTCTTCTCTTTTAGGCCGCTGGAGGAAAAGGAGCTTAACCTATCGCATCTACAACTACACTCCTGACATGATCAAGTCAGACGTCAGGAACGCCGTCCGTTCTGCCTTCAAGTACTGGAGCGATGTGGCGGCTTTGACCTTCAGAGAGGTCGATTATGGCAGAGCCGACATAAAGATCTCCTTCCATAAGAAAGATGGATTCTGCTCTGTCCCATTTGATGGCCGTGGTAAGTCTTGTTTATAAATGCATGTGTCACTAGGTCGTCTGTGACTGGGTTGCTGGGACTGTGACTGTTTATTTGCTCTGGGTGCAGGTCATGTACTGGCCCATGCTGAGTCACCAGAATCGGGTATTGTCCACTTTGATGAGGATGAGTTCTGGACTGAGGGAACATATTATGGCACTAATCTGCGTATTGTAGCTGCTCATGAAATTGGCCATGCTCTCGGCCTGGGTCACTCTCAGTTCAGAAGCGCTCTGATGGCACCGGTCTACTCTGGTTACCGTGTCAACTTCAGGCTGCACTCAGATGACGTGAATGGCATCCAGGCACTATACGGTGAGTGTGTCGAGGGGGTCCTGCAACATGATTGGTGCTGTTACTGGACCTGGGCTGTCGATGTTGCACATATACAACATGTTTCAGTTTAAGGGTGATGATTCTGGGCTCTGATTGCATATAAGAAAACATGCAATCGTCCTAAAATGTTTAACTTATCTGTTTAAGGCAAACGCATCATAAGCACGTTAGCCAGTCCCACAACTCCAGACAGTCTGGTTCCCACAGTGAGCAGCCAGGGGACTGAGAACATCCCTGATCCCTGCACAGCAACACTGGATGCGATTATATTAGGTAAGTTATCGATCAGTGTTTGCTAGACCAGCTAACTTTACATTAGGCCATCGAAATTAGTTTAAAGAATGAAACTTCAATATACCAAGATTACAAAGTCACCATGAGTTAAAAGGGTTAATAGATCTTGTTATTCAGATCGTTTCTCATGAATGGCTGTTATTATTTGTTCAATCAGGTCCCTGGGAGAAAACCTTTGCTTTTAGTGGTGATTATGTGTGGACTATCTCTGACCTGGGACACAACCCACCTATAAGAATTGACAGACTGTGGAGAGGCCTCCCAGGAAACCTAAATGCTGCTGTGTACTCTCAGCGAACCAACAAGACATATTTCTTAAAAGGTAATTTTAGTCCAGTCAAGCTACACTTCAGTTACCCACCGCTCTCTGGGTCGGAATAGTCAGCGTAAAAGGTTTGTGCTCTTTCTGGTCACAGGCAATAAAGTGTGGAGGTATACCAGTTTTGTTCTGGACTACGGCTACCCCAAAGAGCTGAAAAGGATTCCCCCTAATATCGATGCAGCCCTGTATCTGAAGAAGAACAAAAAGCTTGTCTTCATTAAGGTAGCTATGAAGAGAAGCACTTAAACATGCATCTACATCCACACCTTCTATTCCTCATTGCCTCATTTGTTTTTTTATTTCCGTCACCCTGTGTAGGGATCAGAGCACTGGCAGTGGGATGAGCTGAAATACAACGACCTAACTTTCTACCCCAAGCCGCTCAGCATGCTCTTCACTGGAGTGCCACCCGCTCCTCATGCAGCCTTCACCTGGACCAATGGCAAAATATACATATTCAAGGGAGACGACTACTGGCGAGTGAATGAGCAGCTGAAAGCAGAGAGAGGCTATCCACTGAGCAAGAAGAAACGCTGGATGCGATGCTAGTGCTCCACCATCAGGGGGCAGCAGGTACCAAAGGGTGTGAAGCACAGGGCATTTACAAGCCACCCTAACCTCAAGAGCAGCAATTCATCGTAAGTAATCACTGACCACATTAATGGAAAAGCTAGTGTGGGAACCTGTACCCTCGAGAGCAGGCTTGTGTTTGTGTGTCTCTGAATGCAGGATTGTGCAAACTTTTGTATTATATGATCCTTGAGAAAAATCAAAGCTGTTTTGTTTTTTGTTTTTTCCATTTAACATGTGTGTTGGATTAGCTGTCACTATACACTCAGTAAGACGTAATACGATGACGGGAACGTGCACTTTCTGGTCAGTTGTGTTTATGGACTTCATTGCGTTCAATGAGTAACACTGGTCTGCGAGAAAAGCACGAGACACTCACTCGTTCCCTCGTTTAAAGTGAAAATGTATCATTTTCTACGAATAAACAAGACATAACATCAACAATAAAACTGCGTCTCGGATTGCTCACAGCATCTTCACAACAGTTGCTCACACAGCCACATTGAAAGGACAGAAAAAAAATATTTACTGTGATGAAAGGGCGGTCTGTCTCACATTGTCTGCAAAGAAAAACAAATCAGAAAACTGTGCGAGCGCCATGGCAACTCCAACCAATTGCAGAGTAGGAAATCCTCCCCATGACCTCTTTATTGCCTATGAGAAATCTGGTGAGTAATGCCGGCAGTGTTGCTAAGAGCCCGGAGAGACAAACAGTCTCAATAACTTCCCCCCCCCCGACTCAAGAGACGACTAAAAACTGCTTATTATTAAACACATTTATTAATCTTTGACACTTCTATCAACAGGTATTTACAGATTCGGGCAACACGTGTGTAGTCACTGCAAAAAAAGATCCCAACAACGTCTGGATAATTATTTAAAAATCTACAGATCAACAACAAACATGCTTTGTTTTTGTTTAGTTTTTTCTTCTTTTTTTACTTAGCGCTACTACGGTACTTGAACTTTATATAAATTAAATTATGAAAAGTGGACTCTACATCACCGCCCATTTTATTCTGATGGGAGCTACATTGCAAAAACAGAAAGATCACAGAATTTGTTAGAGTTCTGCTAGAAGATCCCGCTAAAGGTTCCAGCAAAAGGTTTTTTCCTCTCTCACATCATTTAGTTTTCACTTCACTTTGTCTTACTCCACACAGCCAGGTCCTATACTTCACTTTTTCATCATACTCCATCTGAAGAAATACACAAAATAAAATTTACTGTGATGACAAGACCTCCCCCCCCCAAAAAAAAAAATCCTACGACCGGACGGGAAAAGGGTAAAATGGGTAATAACACGACACTTGATTGCGATGACTAACTTCTGAAGTACAGTACATGTAATGTCAAGCATTGCTTTGTGATGTTCACTATCAGAACAGAAACACATCTGTCTTCGAGGCTCATTGGGCTGTTATGTGCTCAGTGAAGAGTGGAAATGGTCGACCTTTATTTTTGTTCGTGTCTGGGGTTTTTCTTGTGTTTCTCTGTGAAACACAGAAGTTGCAGTGGTTTTAGCCTCATCCTCTTACATTCTCCAGCAGCGCTGTGTTTTGCTGAACACCTGCGACCCACTGAGGAGAAAATCAGTTCAAGGGCGACGAACACCCCATGGATAGAAGAGCAGTTATTAACTTCTACTCTACATTAGGAAGACACAGTTGGAGAACCAGAGTGCATTAAGTAGTCCCTTCTTATGTTTGTGCTGCTCAGACCCTGACGACTGGCGTTGTGGCTGTGAGGGGCACCGTGGAGCCAGTGTCGTAGTCCAAGTCGATCGTGGTGTGGTTGGCGGTTCCCACGCTGCTAAGGGAAGTGCCGGTGCCCATCTGTCTGTCCCGCAGACTTTGCAGGTAGCTCTGAGGAGAAGAAGAAGAAGAAAAACAGAGAGATTAGCGAAGCGAACAAAGAGCTAGAAAAAAGTCCAGCGTCTAACGTCTAATCGCTACCGCACGCGGCATGTTTGTCACACTGACCGGTGCCAGTAGATCCCCAGCGTAACGTTTCACTGGGGTGGGTTTACGGCGGTAAGTGCCTTCCTGCCCACCTGCCTGCTGTCGCTTCTTGGCGTCTTTCTCCCGGATCCGCATCAGCTGGACTCTCTTCTGTCTCCGACTGATGACAACTATGAGGTGAAGGGAAAGTTCGAGAGCAACTTTTATCAATTGTGAATCGTGCTTGAAAAATGTGAGTCTATATTTATGAAAGTAATATGAGAAAAAAAATGTTAATTTTGTGAAAGTAAAAGTTTGCTATTTTCACTTCATGCAGGAAACCTAAGCTTGAAAAATTCCAGCAGTTCAGATTTAAATGATTTCACACAAAAAGGTCAGAAGATGTGATGTGATCGCCAAACTTTGCTTTCATACGGAGAGAATACTTTGATGCTAAGTTTAAGCCTTGGCTTGATTTGATTCATCGGAGGAATGAAAGCGCCACGCTTACCCTCTGTGTGTGAGAAGCTGTTGTCCGTCAGTTTCCACTGGACCAGCACTCCTATGAGGCTGAGAGCAGGCCAGATGCCCAGAATGACCCAGCTGTACCAGCAGAGCGCCTGTCCGGGTGTGAGGCGCAGGCATTCATACACGTACATTCCCAAAACCAGCATCTCCACAAAGTAATCGGTACACACTGTCATGATGGCCGCCCCAAACACAGCGGTGGACAGCATGGTGAACATCTTCTGCCACTGCAGTGTCAGCACGGCAAACAGCATGCCCGATCCCAGAAGAGTGCCCAGCGGCACCCACAGTGTGGTAGGTGTGTAGAACTGCTGAGTGACCAGCAGGGCGGCGAGAGCCAGGAGGAAGCCGAGCAGCAGGCCCGTCATGAAGAGGCCGACGCTTCGCACGAGCATAGTGACGAGGCCGCACAGGAGGCCTATACCGAGGCCGATGCCCGCGCTGGCCTCGACGCTCAGCTGCGTGTCCAGCACGTGCTCCTTGTGGCACAGCAAGAAAATGATGACCGAGCCAAACATCAGGCCAGACAGGAACATGACAGCTTTGAAACACCGGTAACCTGGCGGAGGAGGGCACACAGGAGAGACGTGTAGTGAGGAAATTAAAGAATGAAGAACTGGAAGGAAACTAAAAATGAAGTTGGGCCAATATATGACCAGAAGATAAAAACAGCAGACTGCACGTGCGCCTGCAGTCTCATGTTGCCCCAAGTTTCAAATTCTGTAAGCCAGCAGAGATCCTCACCAAAGAAGCAGTAGATGATTCCAAACAGGCAACACATGGAGCAGATGACAGTAGGGATGACATCATACTTCCTCTCTATCTCCAAACTACAGGCATCTGCCATGGCTGACCCTGCCCCCTCAGAGCTCAGTCCAGTGGGATCCGTCATCGTGTTGAACTTTGAGGCTCTGGGACAGGCTGAAAGTCAGGATAAGGAAGGCGGGGACCACTGTGGGCGTTATCTGAAGTCCATCAGAGCAGGTGTGACTGCAAGAGAAGAGAAAAGTGCCGATAAAACAAGGAAACCTAAGAAAGGGTGACCGTATCCTAGTCAGTGAAGCGTTTTTAATGCTGATTAACACTGAAAATAAAGTAATTCAAAAGTAGGGTGTTAAATCTGTATGTTGCTCTGTATGTGCAACTCTCACTGCAACTCAATAAAACCCTAAATGTTGCAGTCAAACATCTCATTCACGCGCTCCGCTCATATGCAAGCTCAGATCTTCCTGAAAAGGAATTTTTATATGTCAACAAACTCTGGTTTCATGGTAAAGGAATTATGTTTCTTCACCACGTTTTACCGTCTCATGAAAACCACTCTTCTACACCCAATTTTTTAACACTAACAGATTGTGTTTTTAATTTTCTCTCCCCTGAGTAATTCACCCTTTCCTTAAAAAAAAAAAAAATCACCAATCGTTTCGTGGAAAACAAAGGCACAGATTTATCTATGGGCTAAATTGGCCCGAAGTCCATTTTTGTAACTGCAGGCGACTGTTAATATTTCCCCACCACCTTCTCTTCTACTCTGTTATAATCTCTTTTCAGAGGAAGGGCACCAACAAGCACTCTTAAAAGATTATATATGCTATTTAAGCTGGCAGGCCTGCAGATCGCCACAGAGGGCTGCAGTGGGGCTAAAGACTTATGGGTGGACTGCTCTTTCTGAGGCTGCTGGCAGGACTCCTGTATGAGCTCACCGCAGCTGAGATCCGATTACAACTAACTCACGTTTCTACTTGAGACACTCAGGAACATTCGGTGCTGCCTTTTCTCCTTAATAACCAGCTCCTCTCTTTCTGTCCATCTTTACCTCACCGTGTTTCACATCGAAGTTCCCCCACCTTGCAGCTGTTTTCTCTTTAACTCTACACACTTCTTCTATCTGTTCCTCAGACAGAAGAATGACTAATTTGGATGTCCTGCCTAAGAATGACTTTACATGGAAAAAATGAACTGGCCACTGGAAATGTATCTTTTCTTTTGCAGTCTCTCACAGTTCTTCTGCCTTTTTTCCCTCTCTGCCCCTCTTCTTTCTGTCACTGAAACTGCAAAGTCCCAATTCTGTGGTCATAGAAGAAAAAATACATGATCAGTGCCACTCTGCTGGGCTTCCCCTGCATTTCAAAACTGATTAATGACTTAAAGATATGCATATCTTACTTTTCTCATAATAAAAAACTTCATTCTCAGACTATAATGACTCCTATTTGTCAGTTTCTTCATTGGAACAGTAAACCAAAAGGAATAAGCTGTTGTGCAAATAGAAAGATTGCAAAAAAATGTTTGTTTGTTTTTTTTTAAAAGTAATGAAACCAAGCTGTGCTCTCTGTTGACTACAGCAGGACAAATAATAAAAAGGAGAAAAAAAACTTTTCTAACAAGAATGACTGCTGCGGGCCAGATCTCTGTTTACAATCATGACTATAATCTTCACATCAGCCCTCGCCAGCTTACAATGAAGGCCCATACTCAGCTCTGGGACGCAGCTATGCACAGAGGTCCGGGCAGCATTGGTGGATCAGTGCAAATATGACAGCTGGTGTCTTTCTTCGACATTTTTGCATTCTTTGTATGATTAAGGGTTAATGCTACCTCCTAAAATTCAGAGTAAGCACTAAATTTCGAGCAGATGTTCACGTCAGTGTGTTGTGAAAGAGGTTTAGAAGGGGAAAAAAATCCCTTACTGTTAGAGGCTTTTGTTTACCTCCGGCTGGGGAAGTACTACGGTCTCCCTCCTCGTGTTACCAAAGGTGCAGTCATGTGAGAGAAGGGGAAAGTTTTGTATATGCGTGACTCTCTTTAGGTGTCAAATGAATTTGAATGAAGAAAGTTGGCTGATGCACTTTATTTATGAATAGAGCTGACTTTTAGTGTACACTCAACTCAATGTTAAACCCAGCTGGTTTGTGTCAAAGACTCTTTGCATTAGCTGGTGTTATTATGACACCTGGTCAGTGTTGATATGAAACAGCTGCTTCAATTTTGTCTTCTTTTTTTTTTAACAGTTTTTACAAGTTTGATGGCTTCTTCGTATTCCAGGCATCGTTACTCCTTTAAATTAGTAGAAGACTAAAGTCCTGGGTAGGTAACTGGCTCTAAACAACTACAGCAACACCAACCTGAATAATGTTTACCACGAAGATTTGTGGGCCGTTATTAAATATTATTACTTTTATAGTAATTCCTGTTATTCCACATTAACAATATTCCACATTTACACTCACAGGCCCGACTCTGAATGAACACTTTGTCGTCTTCTAATTAGGTTTAGTTAAACAGCAGGAGGACGGCGGCGGCGCTAACACGAAATAACAACCCAGGCCTCTTCCTTTCTCTCACATATCTGGTTACTGTTGGATCTCATATCTTAACTGCTAAGATAATGACTTAATTCACTCTTAAACTAGAGATCAGCTCATATTTCAGCAGGATTTTAACAGTAATCTGCCTCAGCTTCACACACATATACACCCATGTTTTACTCCCATGCCTCTGCCTCATGCTCCCTTGTCGTCACAATGGTGTCTTATGTGTAGCAGCCTTGGGAGTCATTGCCGCTGTGGGAGAATAGAGCCATTATGGGGCAAAACAAAGACTCTGAGGCCCATGCTGTGACCTCTAGTGGCACTCGGAGGAAACCATGCGAATGAAAAACGAGACCGCATAAAGATGACTGAGCGCAGCAGCAAGGACGCTGCTACATCCCAAGTTGTTTGCTTTAAGAGGGGAGCCAAGTATTTGCCTTCAGACGGCTGGTAAGTGATGAAGGGTGGTCCTGAACTAGAAGACAGAGCTATCAGTCTTAACGCTTGAACTCCCTGGAGCCCCCCCGCCAAAAAAAAAACAACCTTACAATGCAGAATTTTCAACAAGCTGCCTGGCAACAGATTCATTAGAAGTCAACTAGACTTTGAGTCTGCAGCTACACAGGCAGCTCTCCGAGGCTGCACTTTGGCCTGGCAGCGCTTTGAGTCAGAAGGTAGCATCACTGGTTTTCCCCCATGCAGCAAAGTACTGCAAAAAGGTTAATGAATTCAATTCTGACGACTCAGTGGAAATTAAAGTGAAATTCGTTAGTTTTACAGCAGCTATTTGGGAAATTTTCAAAATATGACACCTAGATAAGCTAATAATAGGCACCTACACATACACAGGACCACCAGCCAGGGGGAGCTTGGGTGTAGTTGGACAAAAATGGGCCTTTCTAAAAACCTTTCACAAGAAAAGCCTCTTTTTAAATTTTCCTTATTTTATTTATATAAAGACATAAAGAGGTCAAATAAAATTTTACCTTGTCTTCCTATAATGCAAAAAAAACAAACAAATCACCCGTAACCTTAAATCTACATTTAAGGTGAAGTATAACACCTACCCTTCCTCATGGAGGGACTAACAACAGAGAAACGCATCAGGATTTTAGGGCATTCGTGCCCAAAGCCTGAGCAGAATAAGAATGAGTGAGGACGAGCTATTTACTATCCCCCCGCATGACAGGAAGAGCAAGCGGTGAATGGAAATTATTGCTGTGCTTACACGGTGGAAAACAAGGGCTTTAAGCAACAGGTTAAAAAGCTTGACGTCAGAGGTAGACAACAATTTTCAGTGTAATCATGCGACCGTGGTGTGCAGCGCTACAAGGTTAAGTTACTTTAGTAAGTGTTAAGTACATATTTTATAAGTTTACTTAGATTTTCTGGGGGGGGGGGAACTACCCAAAGCTACTTCTGTGCTTACATTTGATATTCGCTGTATCACTGGATATAATGCTGCAGCTGCTGCTGCTGCTGGCACCTTGTTTACATACTTTGAATTAGGCCATGCGTCATCAATGAAAGTAACTCATTAGAAAACAAGGCCGGAAAATGCCCTTCATATAAGTATTCTTATAAATGCTTACCATGTGTCTCAAACTGCCACTCAAAAATAGGCCCATGCATCTGTTGCTTCTTAGATAAAACATCCCAAAAACTGCCAGAAGCTCCGCTGTGACAAACCATCAGCTAATCCAAAGTGTTGCAGTGTGAGTACAATGAGGAATTAGCAACACGAATCAGATTTCTGTAGATTCCCTTCATTAGTTCACACAGTAAAGTCCACAATAGCTTTTAACCCTTTAAAGCACCTCAGAGTGCAGGTTTGTGGTTCCTTCAGTTTTTAAAAGTCTTACTGAGGCAGACAGTGTAGCTCCTTTTATGAACGGGCCTGAAAGTTTCTGTACTGATCACACTTACAGTTATTGCTCAATCAATTTAGTTTTTACTGGAGAATCTCATATCATGAATGCCCTGAGCTTTGCTTCTCTCTGGCTCCATAAATTTCTGCGCCTCTGCTGCATGTCATTATGTCGTCCCTCCCATAATTTTATCTTTTTCCTCTTTGTCTTCTCTCTCTGTTGTAGTCTCTATTGTATTTTCTCTAGTCTCTTCTGTTTTGTCTCCATTGAGCTGGATCGGCCGCTCCCAAGTCTGCTTTTGCTGCAGATTTCTTCCAGCTGAAAACAGAAAATAGTTCCATTTCTCTTTGGGATATTGCACCATTGGAAGGTCTATACTTTACAACATAAAGTGCCCTGAAATTACTGTGAAATGCAGCTTGTACAGTTTAATAACTCTTTTGCACTTCATGTCCCTCCCTTCTTTGTGTCCTGTCTACCTCTGCACTGTTAAAACACAATGAACAAGTAATAATTCAGATCCCTTCTACAAAGCTCACTGAGCTCACACTCAGTATCAGCTGCAGCGCTATTGGAATAACGTGTTGTCCTTGGGTATCCTCCCCTTGAACACACCCAGCGGGGTGCTGTCCTGAACAGCACAGATCTGAGTGCTCAGCTGCTGGAACAGACAAGGCTGACTAAAAGTTCCCCACATAGCTAATGCGGGTGTGTTTAATCAAGGGGGTGGGCGTGCGCGATCACAGCCAAAGATTCTGGGAGCGTTTCTCTGACTTGACGGCCGGGGCCAGCTGAGAACTGAAAAACCTGCAGAGCTATGGCCTGGCCGTCTGACAGCTTCACTTGGAAGACCCTACCAAGAATGCGAGATGCACTGGGGTCTCAACAGTTGTTGGTATAAATTATGTCTCCTCAAGGTGAAGACCCCAACCAGCTGGAAGACTGAGTCAAGAAAATAAAAATGTGAATAAAGCGAACTAATGTCACAGCTGGGGTCTTTAAATATGATAATACATATTGTGCTAAGCACAAAACTTATCAAAATAACATCTGCTTTAACTCTAAAGCAGACAGAGCAAGACTTCAAATGACCCACTGCTGAGCTTCCTGCCTCGCCGTAGCAGGAAACTGAGGACCACATGAGGAAGTGGAACATCAGGTTTCAGCAGGAACTGACCCCCTGTGTTTGTGACATGGACCAAAAAGGCTATCAAAGAGCTGGATTATCAACACACAAAGCTGAGGAAAAATAACTACCTTGAAGTCAAAAAACTAGCAGTGTCTTTAGAAACCGTTTCACCTGAGAAATTTGACCATTAGGAAGTTGCAGGATAGGCAACCTTATGATGCAGCGTTAATAAGCTTGTAATCTGTCTGGCTCATGGGCTAAGCTACACATAACACTTTCAATTATGTCATAATGCCCCAGCTTACGTGATTGTGGCTACTTTCAGAAGGGGTTTTTTGCATAGCAGCTACTGCCATGTTTGTATGCTAAGAACTTACATAACGAACAAAGCACCACATGACAGTCAGTTTTCACTTTGACCAGACTTTGAGTCCCTGCGGGCTTTGCATTTCTTCTTCATATGCATCCGTGTATGAAAACAGATCAGTAGTGTCACAAACTCTTGGCTGTGGTCCTTTTATTTATTCATTCTGATTACTAAGTGCCAAAAAACTAAACACACAATACACACAGAGATTTATAAACTGAGCTATAAAACTAGGGGCAAGCTATTTGGTTCAAAACCTTTATAAAACAGCATTTTTCAAAGCTGTTGAGGCGTAGGTAACTCAGGTCTCTCTGTGTTTTTTCACTCCATTGTACATGAATAAACAACAACTTGTTTTTAACAACTTTCCACATATCAATCCAAACTTTCAAGAGCCGTTTTAGGGCCGCTTGTGAACTACAACATCAACATAAACCTAATTTTTCACTGCACAAATCTGACCTGCAACTCCCCCCCTCACTTTAAAGTTCTTCATGTATTCTCTGCCTCGTGTTCCTG